GGAGCTGCACTGATCTGAAGCCAGGAGCCAGGAGCTTCTGCCAGATCTTCCACGTGGGCAGGAGCCCAAGGACCTGGGCCATCCTCTGCTGCTTTCCCAGGCCATAGCAGAGAGCTGGATCGAAAGAGGAGCAGCCGGGACTTGAACTGGTGCCCATATGGGATGCCAGCGCTTCAGGCCAGGGCTTTAACCTACTGTGCCACAGCTCTGGCCCCTCTTCTTGACTTTTGAGTGGGACATGGTTTCTTAGATATGACAGTAAGAGTACAAGAAACAAAAGATAAAATAGTTACAATGGACATTATGAAAATTAAAAGATTTTGCACTTCAGTGGACAACTCAGAGAATGTGAGACAATTTGCAAATCATGTATCTGACAAGGGAATAGTGTTTGAAATATATAAAGAAAGTGGGATTCTACAATAAAAAAACAAGCAATCCAGTTTAAAAAATGAGTAAAGATTCTGAATAGCCATTTATCCAAAGAAATAAAAACGTTCAAAAGCACATGAATAAATCTTCAGTTTTGCTAGTTATTAGGGGAGTGTGAATCAAAACCTAATTCAGATACCACTTCACATTCATTAAATAGATGGATAAAGTTAGGCAAAAAAGATGGCCAGTGTTGCAGCTCACTTTGCTAATCCTCCGCCTGCAGCGCTGGCACCCCAGGTTCTAGTCCCGGTTGGGGCTCTGGATTCTGTCCCGGTTGCTCCTCTTCCAGTCCAGCTCTCTGCTGTGGCCCAGGAAGGCAGTGGAGGATGGCCCAAGTGCTTGGGCCCTGCACCCGCATGGAAGACCAGGAGAAAGCACCTGGCTCCTGGCTTCGGATCGGCGCAGCGCAACGGCCATAGTGGCCATTTTGGGGGTGAGCCAATGGAAGGAAGACCTTTCTCTCTGTCTCTCTCTCACACTAACTCTGCCTGTCCAAACAAACAAAAACATAATAAAAGGATGCAGCATTAACAAGGATGCAGAAAAATCAGAATTCTTAGACATTGTTGGTGTAAATGTGAATGTAAAATGGTGCAGCTGCTGTGGAAAATAGTTCTGTAGTTTCTCAAAAAGTTAAACATAGAGTTAGTATATAACCTAGAAATTCTACTGTTAGGCTTTTACCCAAAATCACTAAAAATGTATTTCCATACAAAACTTGTACAAGAGCCTGCATAGCAACTTTATTTATAATAACTCCAAAGTGGAAACAACCTAATTATTCTTCAGTTGACAAATGATTAAATGTAGTGTATCCATGCAATATTATTCAGCTCTAAAAAAGAGTGATTTACTAAAATGTACAACAACATGAATTAATCTTGAAAACCTTATACCACTAAGTCAAAGAAGCCTGACACAGCACATAGCGCCTGATTCTATTTGTATATATATTGTCACAAAAAGCAAATCCATAAACAGCAATTATATTAGTGATTTCAGGGGCTGGAAAGATAGGGTAATGGAAATTCCTGATAATGGATATGGAGTTTCATTATGGGATGATGAAATGTCCTGGAATTAGATAGTGATGATAGTTGCACAATTTTATGAATTGGCTGTAAACTACTGTACTATACTCATTAAAGCTACAAATTTAATGCTATGTGAACTATTCCTCGATAATAACAATAGCAATAATAATAAATATCCATTTGGATCATGTATTGTCATGTTCTTAGGTCTCCTTCAAGGAAGAACATTGATACAATTCTTTGGTTTTTGGAAATTATAGACAAATGATTTTGTAGAATGTTCCTGAATTTGTATTTAATGTTTTATAATGATTATATTCAGATTATGCTTCTTTTGGTCAGAGGAATCAAGAAGTTACCCTGTGTTCTTCAGTGTTTCTCTTCAGATAGTATTATATGTGATGTTGAATAGCTAATCACTAATGATGCTAACTTTGATCACTTGAGCAAGGTAGTCTCTGCCAGGTTTCTCTAACATAAAGGTACTTTTTTCCTTTCATAGTTAATAATATTTTCTGAGAAAATTCTTTGAAGTTATGTAAATAAATCATTTTTTTACCACATAAATTGAGTGCTGAAAAGTATTGCCTGCATTTGTTCATTCAATAGAGGACATATTTAATGCTTTTTCTTATGAATAAGACATGATTTGGAGCAGATCTCAACTTCTTTGATTCTTTTCCAAAATTGTTTTTTGCTCATGCAGATCATACATCACATAAAATAAGGTTTTTGTTTTGTTTTGTTTTGACAGGCAGAGTTAGACAGTGAGAGAGATAGAAAGGTCTTCCTTCCATTGATTCACCCCTCAAATGGCTGCTATGACTGGCGCACTGCGCTGATCCGAAGCCAGGAGCCAGGTGCTTCCTCCAGGTCTCCTATGCGGGTGCAGGGCCCAAGTACTTGGGCCATCCTCCACTGCCTTCCCAGCCACAGCAGAAAGCTGGACTGGAAGAGGAGCAGCCAGGACTAGAACCCTGCACCCATATGGGATGCCGGCGCTGCAGGTAGAGGATTAGCCAAGTGAGCCACGGCGCCGGCCCCAGTTTTTTTTTTTTTTTTTTTGACAGGCAGAGTGGACCATGAGAGAGAGAGACAGAGAGAAAGGTCTTCTTTGCTGCTGGTTCACCCTCCAATGGCCGCCACGGCTGGTGCGCTGCGGCCAGCGCGTCGCGCTGATCTGACGCCAAGAGCCAGGTGCTTCTCCTGGTCTCCCATGGGGTGCAGGGCCCAAGCACTTGGGCCATCCTCCACTGCACTCCCTGGCCACAGCAGAGAGCTGGCCTGGAAGAGGGGCAACGGGGACAGAATCCGGTGCCCCGACTGGGACTAGAACCCGGTGTGCTGGCGCTACAAGGCGGAAGATTAGCCTATTGAGCCGCGGCGCCGGCCCCCAGTTGTTTTAATTATAGCTTATTTTCTCTAGATTTTGAGTCAAAGATAACACATTACCATAGGAATAATCATGGCATAGTGAAACGAGGATTGGATTTGGGATTAGAAAATATGAAACTGAATCCTGGTTGAATGTTTTATATATAAGCATATATAAAAAAAATTTATATGCTTATATAAAAACATATATATGCTTATATATAAAACATTTATAAAATTTTTTTATATATTTATATAATTTATATTATATATATATTTTTTCAACCTTTCATAATAGAATAAAACCAACCCTCTGTTTGGTATAACCAAGATTTAACAAAAATGAAAATACAGGGAAAAATATGAAGATGAAAAATAGAAAATTGTTCATTGGGGTTTGCGTTGTGGTGCAGTGGGTTGGATTGCTGCTTGCAACAATAGCATGTTGGAGTGCTGGTCACAGCTGCACCACTTCTAATCCAGTTTCCTCCTGGTGTGCATAGGAAAGCAGCAGAGACTGTCTCAAGTGCTTGGACCCCCACCATCCATGTGGGAGACTAGGGTGGAGTTCCTGAATCCTGACTTCAGCCTAGCCTGGACCTGGCTAATGTGTCTATTTGGAGAGTAAGCCATCAGATGGAAAATCTCTATCTTTCCTTCTCTGTCATTTTCCCTTTTAAATAAATGAATAAGTAAATCTTTATAAATTGCCCATTAAAATTATTTGCAGAAAGATTTATTTTCCACTTTCCATCACACGATTTTGTTGTGTGATTGAGTATTAAGTATTCTCTTAGACTTAATAAATAACAGACAGGATGTTATGGCTTACCAGAGTAAAACCAAAGTGTTAAAATGCAGATCCTCAAACAAGATGTGACCATCACTGGGGAGAAAGTTGTTTCTTTGCTGTGGGTACTGTGTTGAGTGGATGTTCTGGCTAAACCTTCCTGACAATGGACATATTTACAATGCATCTTCATGGATACTGACAGTGGGGTGAGAGATTGTTAGGGGCCGATTAGGGAGAGAACTGGAGGTTGAGCTCAGTTCCTACTCGCCAGGAATGACTCTGATGCAGAGACACAGTTCTGCTTTGAACCCAGACCAGATTTGACCTTCCTCAAGAAATGCTTCTTGCTATTCTCATGCAGTAGTGATTTTGTTTTCCACAGATACCTTATGGTTTTGAGCTGGGTCAGATGTCTATATCTGATTTTTTCAATACGGAATGTATAAAAACTAAAGGTTTTTGACTTTGGGGGCTTTCTTCAGTTCTGTTGAATTATAATCAGTGAGATGGGGTTCTGATATATTTATTTTAGATAGTTTATTATTATTATGCATCAAGCCTGATATTTGCAAACTTCAGATCTTACTCTAATGATGTTTCTATGTTGTAATTATGGCCATCAGTTTATTAGGCTGTATTAATAGAAGGAAAGGGTTAGTAGAAGTGATAGTTTATATTTCTCTGCACCTTTCTAACAAATATTAGGGTGAGTAGTCCACTTCTGGACAATATATCAACATACTTTGCAATAGTCAATGCGTGATTGTAATAGATATGGGCAAGATGGTCCAGGATAGACAAATATGAGGACTATGAGAGTTGATAAATGGTTGATAAGTAGAGATTTTTATCCTGGAGAAAATAAATTTTAATTGAAACAAAATGTTCATCTTCAAATATTTGAAAGTCTGTCAGTTTTAAAAAGGGTGAACTTCTTTGTTTTTGGTCTTCACTGGCTCTGATGGTTGTCAACCTTGTGAATGTATTTTTCAAGTAGGGTGTCAACAGTTACACCCCTACAACAATGATGGAACTATAATCTTTCCATCAGTTTTGTAGTAAAACTAGGCCCATGAGAAATTCTTATGGAAAGAAATGACCACTATAATCTTCCTTCTAGGAATGATTTCTTCCTTCTAGGAACAAAAGATTTTCCCTTTTAGGGAAGTTTGGAAAATAAACCAAGGTAAAGAACCAGTATGATCTATAGGCTAGATCCCAGTGGGTAAAAACTCCAGGGGAAACTTAGGTATTCAATGATATTTGTGCACGTGCACGTGTGTGTGTGTGTTTGTGTGTGTGTATGTGTATATGTATGTCTTTCTTGGAAGATAACTGAAATTCTTTGTACAAAATGTCTCCCAAACAAGACTTGTGTGTTCCTCAATTTTCTTTATTAACTGAGATATTACCTTGAGGTTGGAGAAACAAATATAAACAGAGGGAAGGATAAGCATCTGGAGGGAGATTTTTTTATTGAGGTATTTTAAAAATCATTCTGAGTTTGTGAGATGAGCACAGCTGCTTTCTCCACTCAATAAAGTTCACTCTGAACCTGGCTCTGCTTCCACTCAGATATTCAGTGAAGATGAACATAAGTCAGAGCCCAAGGATGATGCTGCTGATGATACATACGTCATTTTTCTCTACCCACATCCATTGAGAAATTAGCATGTTCCTTCATGAAGAAATTGAACTTTTCCATTGCTTTTCCTAAAGGAAGACAGAGTTAACAAGATTCACAAGAGGAGTTTTATACAATAGTAGACCTGAAAGAAAATTTTGCGATTATGAAACACAGCCTTGTTTTATAGGTGAGAGAATGGAGTTACCCAAAAGGAAGGTTCTTGCCACAGGTAGTGCTACAGTAGTTGAATTTTCCTAATCCAGTGAATATTCTGCCCCATTTTTTGCTTCCACTTAACCCAGAACCCAGCTGATCACTGAGGATCTCAAAAAAATAAAGAAAGAAGACTAACAAAGAAAGCTGAACCTTTCTATCCCTCAGCTTTTCCTGCCTGCCGTGTTTTCCTGTCCATGCCCTTGAACACAGCAACTCTCCTGATCAGGAGCCAAGTGTGTATCTGTGTTACAGAATCTTTTCTTTTGTGAAATAAAACTTGCAGAACAGTAATAAATACATAAACATGTCATTCTGGGCTCAGAGTCCAAATGATATTCCAACTTGTTAAGAAAATCACAAAGATGAGAAACACAAGATCTAAGGAAGTGGACAAAATCCAGGGACCTAAAAGGCAGTTAACAAATATCAAAGCAGACTTGATTTGAGATAGTCAGTGCTAAGCTGCACATCATGCACCGAACAAGTGACATCTGCCTAGTTACGTTTCTTCAAACACACTGTGTGGGCCAAGCACAGAATACATAAGCAAAACATGTCCATGGGATTCTGGTCCAAGTACTGACAGCTTGCATCCTCTATTTTAGATAAAGGAAAAACAATCATTTTGGCAACCTTATCTCTCCTTAAGACTATAGATAGTTAGATAACTCTAGGAACCTGAGTAAAAAGGATCTCTAGACATAGTGTAGCTAAGAATAAACCTATTGAGGTGATTAAATATCTTAGAAGTCATGCAAAAAATAGAGGTTTTCAGTTACTTTTGAGTGTGGAGTTTAGGGTTCTTTCTTCAAACAAGATATAGTGTGGAACTCTACTACTTAAAAATATTCAAAAGCTGAGATTGGGGTTGGAGACTACCCTAAATAACCTCCTTATTACCTGTGGTGACTCATGACTTGCCTCTACAGAACCTCTGGACTCCAGTGACAGTAGATTGAGAAATCTTGGTCTTGCTGGAATTTTACAGTTGACATACAGGAAGTGGATGTTCCGTGACAGGCGCAGTCTAAGCTGAAAGAGCAGGTGGCCCAACCCTGTTCTGACTGGATAGCATTCAGATTTCTGACCCTACCAGCCTTTATGTGTGAGAATAAGTACGGCCCATGGAGAGCTGGGCAGAATGCTGCAAAGAGGAGAGTCTGTAGTGAAGAACACTGCTTCCAGATCTGCTTTTCTTCCCAAGGTACTCACAAGGTCTCAGTACACAGGTGACATTCATTCCCGTAGGTGATGTAGTCAGAACCACAAACTGGCAGGTATGTGATGGGGCAGGGAATGGCCACTACAGGATACTTCTTGTAAATGCTGCAGTCCACCTGGTCAGACACAAAAGAATGTCCAGCTTTTCTCCCAGACCTCAAACAAGGCTAGGACAGGCTACAAGAGCCAGAAGCTCCAGTTTGGATATTTTGATGCTGCTGTGGTTACTTCTGTAAGAAATAATATTAAAATGGTAGTACTACCAACAAGACTCATATTGTTAATGCCACACTCATTTAACAATTGCCGAGCATTTCTGTGTCCTTAATTCTTCATGGATTTTCTTTATTATTTTGAATAAATAAATAAGGTAGCTTTTTCTATGACCTCTATTTACCGGTGGGGAAATTGAAGCTGAGAGACATAGTTTGTGTGAGGTTGTATAAGACATAGCTTGTATAATACTGATAAGTGGTAGAGTTGGGATTTGAATCCAGAGTTTGTGCAATTAATCAAGGCACCTCTGCCCTGCGTTTCATATATCATTTCTTCACAAAAAATATCATTAATTGCTCAGTTGAAAGGCAGTTCTCTCCTTTAGCTCTGGAATTTTTTAAAAAAATATGTTAAGGATATGGCCATTTTTATTCATATGGATGTTATATTTCTTCAGTGGAATTCTGAAAAGGAAAGGCCATTTCTTCATCTGTGTTTGCTGCCACTTTCAACCTCTTTAAATATACAAATTAATCCTGTATTTATAAGTATTCATTCTCTAGTTGTCAATAGCAATACAAATTAAAATGTTGTCAATATACTCACCTTTGTTACAGGCAGACTGGTAACTTCTGAAAGAAATGTAAATAGAAAATTAAAGCTTTGAAATCTCACTAATTAGTTTAAGTTTTGTCCTACAATTAAAGACCCTGAATCCCCTCTGGCAATGAGGCTCAGCACATTCCCTATCTTTTTTGTTGTTGTTGTTTTTTGACAGGCAGAGTGGACAGTGAGAGAGAGAGAGAGAAGAGACAGAGAGAAAGGTCTTCCTTTTCCGTTGGTTCACCCTCCAATGGCTCTGCAGCCGGCGCGCTGTGGCTGGTGCACCGCGCTGATCTGAAGCCAGGAGCCAGGTGCTTTTCCTGGTCTCCCATGCAGGTGCAGGGCCCAAGGAGCTGGGCCATCATCCACTGCACTCCCTGGCTACAGCAGAGAGCTGGCCTGGAAGAGGGGCAACTGGGACGGAATCCGGCGCCCCGACTGGGACTAGAACCTGGGGTGCTGGCGCCGCAGGCGGAGGATTAGCCTATTGAGCCACGGCGCCGGCCACATTCCCTATCTTTATGCAAAATCCTAGTTGTTAGCTAAGGAAGTTGAATGACCAGTGGGTTAGGTAGGTCCTTAGTTTAGGTAGAGAGTAACTCAAATTTCCTCTTTGTATTGATCACAGAACAATTTTTAGAGCTCATTACATCTTTTGATAATGGTTCAAAGGCAGATAGCAATAAATCTTGCAGTCACCACTCCCAAGAGCTTTGATATCCTCTCCCTCCTGATTGAAAGGAAGGAATGTAATGAAATGTGTTTTGAAAGCTAGAAACTTACTTTAATTAAGTAGTTTTTCAATTGTGTTCCAGCTTTTGGAGAATTATGTTTGATTTTATCCTCCTATATTGATTTGGGAAAATCTCACAGTTTCTAATAACAATAACAACTTTCATTGTCCTTATGAAATGGAGAAGTATGGAGAAGTTGGGAAATTTTTGGTCCATAGGTACAAATAAGAATCCTTAAAAGGAAGACCTGAGATCCAAATCCTTCTAACACCTGCTAGAATGTAAGATATTTCCCTTCCCAGACCAGGGCTGTTTCTGTTACAGACCTATGCACTTTAAATCCACACAACCAAACTCTTTTAGATGCTCATATCCCAAGAAGGATCACTTAGGAAAAGAAGGTAAATGCTATATAGGCACTGTCCTCCCCTAACTCACCAGAGCTGCTGCAGAAATGGATCACTGCACAGAGCACAAGGAGCTCCCTAGCGATCCTCATGGTGGACATGGCTGTGATGCAGAGGTGGCTCTGAGATGGTGACCGCAGCTGAATGGGCTGCACCCTGGGAGAGGGATCATGCTTATATGGCAAGTCTCAGTTCCTCCACCTTTCCTGTGAGGTCATCCAGAGTCAGTGTTGGCCCTAAGAAAATCAAAAACATTGTCACACGTGGGCGTTGTTGCTGTGCTTGTACTTAATTGCTGTTTCCTATATGTTCAACAGATTAATTGTTTGAGGACAGAAGTATTTTCCTGCCTCTTCAAAGATGTGAACTGTTACTTTGAATTCTAAATTTCCTGTAGTAGAGGAGATTAATTATGGGACACTGGTCTAGTTATGAAATAAGTGAAAATCCTGAACTTTCTTTCATTACCAAAATGGAAGATATTAAACTTATATTAGATAGACTATAACTGTGCTTATATTTTGGCTCCTGGAAAAATATTTTTTTCATTTTGAGGCAATGAACCTATGAAGCAAGCTGGAACCTAGTGGAAGAAATGGTGACTTTAGCATTAATGAGATTTGGAGTAGGACATGGCCATATTACTCTTGACACCTTCTGGCTGTTTGGTCTTGAATAAGTCATGTAAATGCTGTGAGCTTATATCAGCCAGAAAGGATGGACTGTGTTGTAGCGTAGGACCCCATGATTTCTATGACTTAAAACAGTACATTAATGGAGCCAGCATTTCAGTGTAAAGCCACCACCTACAGTGCCGGCATCTCATATGGGCACGTGTTTGAGTCCTGGCTGCTCTACTTCTGATGCAGCTCTCTGCTATGGCTTGGGAAAGCAGTAGAAGATGGCCCAACTCCTTGGGCCCCTGCACCCATGTGGGAGACCTGGAAGAAACTCCAGGCTCCTGGCTTCAGATTGGCCCAGCTCCTGCTGTTGTGGCATTTGGGGAGTGAACCAGCGGATGGAAGACCTCTCTCTCTCTCTTTTTCTCTTTCTGCCTCTGTCTCTCTGTAACTCTGTCTTTCAAATAAATAAATAAATCTTTTTTTAAAAATAATACATTTGTTCCTTTAAAAAAGTATAGATTTATATATTTTAGAGGCAGAGAGGCAGACAGAGAGGAAATAGGACATATCTAAAAATACATTTTTATTTATTGAGAGAGGAGGAAAAAGCAAGGGAGGGAGGGAGAGAAAGAGACAGAAAGAGAGAGAAATCTTATGCCTGCTAATTAATTCACCAAATGCCTGCAACAGCTGGCCTTGGCCAGGGTGAAGCCAAGAGCCAGAAACTCAATCCTGGTCTCCCACGTGTGTAACAAGGATCCAAGTACTTGAGCCATTACCTGCTGCCTCCCGGGGTCCACATTATCAGTATGCTGGAATTGGAAGCAGAACTAGTATGCAAACTCAAGAACTCTAATACGGGATGTGTGCATCCAAAGTAATGGTTTGCCTTCTTGTACCAAATGATTGCCCCAAGTTTGTTTGTTATTCAAGCTACTCATTTGTACAATTCAACTGATGGTGCTGCCTTGCCTTCACCTTGGATGGTGAAGTGCCCATGATGGAAGGTTCCCAGTATTTGGAATATTGTCAAGGTGAAATGAAGGAGTGTTCTGGAAGATTTACCTGTTCAGCAATGAAGTGACACCACTGTCACTTCCCCTTACATGACCCGCATGTCCCCTTGCCCAACTATAGGGGTTATAAAGTGAATGCGACTTATCCTACCTTGTTTCCTGAAAATCAGAATATGGAGAAATGGAAGTGGTTGGCAAATAGCTGAGACCACCCTAGAGCCTGAGTTTCATTCCCTGTCTGTTAAGTCTTATTGTTAGTCACAATACAGTTACATAATTGGAGTAACTTACATGAAAGTCTGTTCTGAATCACAGAGAATTTAATTATGTTACTGTGATTACTTTTATTATTATCATCATCTATGAGCTAAAAGTCAATACTATGGATCCCTGACAATAGATTGAACTGCATCATCCAACTACAATCGTCCAAGTGATGCTGTTTGTCTAGCAAATGTAAGGACACATGTATGAAAACCTGGGGGAAAGCAATAGATTCTGTCTTATTAGTCCATTGTTTGCTAGGTTTATTTTAGTATATTCTGAAATAACATCTACAAAAAAATTAAGTGAATAATAAATGATATTGCAAGGCCTTCTAAAATTTGGACTTTTGCGGCTTCTTTGGGAGGCAATATAATACAGTGGTTAAGCACGAGGTTTGATGGATCTCTTTGGAATCTTCCTTCTGAAATTATTGATGATGTGCCTTTGAATATATGAATTATATTAACTTCTGAACTCTTCCTTATTTCTAAAGCAGATATAACAATTACTTAACTGGGTATTTTTGAGTGTGAAGATTTTTTTAAAGGTTTTGTTTTTTTGAAAGGCAGAGTTACAGAGAAAAGAAGAGAGAGAAGGAGAGAGAGAAATCTTCCATCTGCTTGTTCACTCCCAAAATGGCTGCAATGGCTGGGCCAGGCCAAAGTCAGAAGCCTGGAAATCCAACTGGGTCTCCCACGTGGAGACCTACTTGGGCTGTCTTCTGCTGCCTTCCCAGATACATTAGCAGGGAGACAGATTGGAAGCAGAGCAGTTGGGACTCAAATCAGTGCTCCAGTATAGGGTCTGGTTTCAAAGGTAGCAGCTTAACCCTCTGCACCACAACTTTGGCACATAGCATGAAGATTTTACGCACACATGCACGCAGAGTCAGGCACCACTTAACAATGGGGCTGCATTCTGAGAAATGCATCATTAGAGGATGTCATCATTTGCAGGTATCATAGAGTATGCTTACACAAGCCTAGATGGTAGAGCCCACTACATGGTATGGCCCATGAGATTCAGGGCCACAGTAAATAAAGCAACAAATACTAAGTCAAGCACAGAAAAATGATGCAATTAAGAGATGCAGAACATGAGATGTATGAGGCTGCAGTAAGTGTAGCATAGCATACTAGTTTACAGTAAGCTTTTTTGTAATTAGAAATACACTCCAATGATAAAAATAGAAATAAAATAGAAATAAACTAGTAACATAGTAATTTATTATCATTATCAAGTATTATGTATTGTATATTAATGGTATATAATATACTTTTATATGGCTGGAGGTGTAATATATTACACTATGACATTATGATGGTTAGAAGGTCACAGGGTGATCAGAATTTTTAGCTACATTATAATCTTATGGAACAAGTGTCCCAAAACATTGTTATGTGACACATGACTTGTATACATAAAATCTGTTGTAGATATGTATGCATGGTTGTGTGTGTGTGTGTGTGTGTGTTTGCTTATTAGGATGGCAAACTCTTAATTAGCTCTTGATGTATGGTAACTGATGATGTGGAATGTCATCTTCATGATGTCATCTTCATGACAACTCATGGAAGAAGGAATTTTTATTATCCTAATCTCACCAGTGAGTGGGTTGAGGTTCAGAAGATTTAGGTAATCATTCAGTAATCACAGTAACAATTAATGGAGTTAACTGTGCTCAGTCATGGAAGAGAAATGAAGTGAAGAGTCTTATAAAGAGAGGTAATTATAAGTTGTATTGTTTTCTCTGAAAGTTTGAAGAAAACGAATACTGAGAAAAAGCCATGATTTCATTATTGCAGTTTGAAAATGCAATTTTGGCTAAGAGTAGTAGGAATGAGATAAAAGGGTGATCAGGGTGACATGGAAATACAGGGTCACACATTTTTTAAAAAATGTTTTGGAGCTGAAAGAGATGAGATGAATGGAAGGAAGCTTCAGCAAGTTTCACTGCTAGTTATAGAAAAGTATAGCACATGTAATTATGTACAGTGCATAGCATTTGATAATAATGGCAAACATACTGGAGTGTGTCTCAAACCCAAAGGGAAGAACTTACATCTTTTTAAAAAGGTTTGTTTATTGGTCAGTGTTGTGGCATAATGGGTAGAACTACCACCTGTGACACTGACATCCTGTCTAGGTGCCAATTCATGTCCCAACTGCTCCACCTCTGATTCAGCTCCCTGCTAATGTCCTAGGAAAAGCAGCAGAAAGTGACCCAAGTGCTTGGGTCCCTGCCACCGACATGAGAGTTCCAGATGAAGCTCCTGGCTTCAGCCTGGTTTAATCTGGGTGATTGCAGCCACTTGGGGAGTGAACCAGTAGATGGAAGATTTAGTCTCTCTCTCTCTCTCTCTCTCTCTCAACTCTGCCTTTCAAATAAATAAGGAATATTCAAAAAATTTTATTTATGAATTTGAAAGGATCAAAGATGGGAAAGAATCAGATCAGAAACAGATTAATCTTCTATCTGCTTGTTCATTCCCCAAATTGCTGGGGCTGTTTCAGGCCAAAACTGGGAGCCAGAAACTCAATCTAGGTCTCCCATATGGATGACAGGAACCCAAGTACTTGAGCTATCACCTACTGCTTCCTAGGGTGTGCATTAGCAGGAAACAGGAATCAGAAGCAGTGCTGGAACTTGAACCAGTACAGGATTTAGTATCCCAAGTGGTGTTTGAATTGCTATACCAAATGCCTGCTCTGGGGTTGCCTTTTGCCTTGGAAGACTTAGGTTTATCTGGAAGCTTGAGAAGTATGGAGAAATGTTGGCACATACATCAGTGGGAACATAGCAGATAAATAATAATGGATGTAAAACCAAATGCCACTAGATAAAACCAGCACTAGATTCAAGAAGGCCAGTCTGTACCACTCTGGATATTTCTTCCAAATTCATTGTGATTCTGAGTGAAAAATGAAAACCAGTGACCTTATGCATAGGAAGTGGGTACATCTCAGACTTGAGGGGACCATAAAGACTTGTTAGGAGGTGGCACATCTTGGAAGAGAGTTACAGATTCCAGAATATTCTGATGGACTATGAAAGTTGTAAGCATTTCCATATGTAGAGGTCAAGATTTGGGCAAAATGTGAACTTGTAGATATGGGGAATATGAACAGTTGTTTATGGAGGCTGTGATTAGAAGGTAAGGTGTTAGATTTCATTTCTTAGAGGTGATGTTGAGACAATGATCCTGAGACTGTATCAAAAAATAAAGCAGATGAAGGATGGGTGGAGATGAAGATCTCTGCACTACAAAGGGTGAGGATAAG